CATTAACCCCCACCCCACCCCCTCACGATTGCCATCAGGGGCCTTCTGACTCCTGTGACCTGTATGTGGTTTCTGAACCTGTGCATCTGCGCTGGAGCACGGCCTCATCTTTCTCCTATGGAGAGGGGTGAACCACCACCTTGCAGTTAGCTGCCCAGTGATTAACCCACGGTGCCCCCAGGGCTCGTGTGACAGATGGAGAGCTTAAAGAACATAGTTTGCTTCCTCTCTGAGATTCCATCCACTAGAGGACCTCTGGTGGCAAACTGCTTACATGGCAGGCTGCAGTCCTCAAGGTCCAGTGTTCGAAACCACCAGCCGCTCCGCACCAGAAAGTCGGGGCCTTCTACTCCCATAAACGTTACTGTCTCCAAAACCCACAGGGGCAGTTCCACCCTGTCCTATAGGGTCACTCTGAGTTGGCCTCCATGGCAGTGAGTTTAGTGCGCTGCCCCCACTGCATGTTGTACACATGCTCCCGCGATTGTTACCTTGAATCCCAATTACCCGTCACGTGCGTGAGTCTCACCCATCTAGACTGTCAACTTCTGGAGGTGAAGAGGCCATCTTCACTTCGGCATCCATGCAGTGTTGAGCAGATGCACGGAATGTTGGTTCAGCACGTAAGGGAGGTTCTGCGATTGGGCTGTAGACCCGATCCCCACCAGATCCCTTGTCCTCCGTCACCATCACACAGTTGTTGCCACAGGGCCCACGAGGAGCAGGCAGAAGCCTGCTGGTAGAGCTTTCAGGAAAATGTTTTCCTTGCGAAAAAGGAAGCAGACAGCCTGGCATGCTTCCTTTACGGTTGACTTCTCTGCGTTCGGTGTTCCTCCTTCTGCCTGGAACGCGGGGTAAAGCCTGGAGGGGCAGCAGCCGTCCTGCAGCCACGAGGTGTACATACTCTGGGGGGAAGAGCAGCAAGAGAGGAAGAGTCCGGTTTCCGATCGTATCATTGAGCAGCTTCATCCGCTCTGTCCCTTTCTGGGCCTCTTGTTATTGGAGAAAGATAAAATCTCATTCCTGCCATTGTGGCTGAGGAATGACAGAGACATTCCTAACTGGTGGATTCGGGGCATTATTGAAAAGTATGCGAGCATTGCTCCTATGAGGGGCCTGCGTTAAGCCAGGTTATCCCGGAAACAAATCCCCCAGTGACGCTCGCTCATCGGTGTGCAAGAAAGGACTTTATGTGAAGAAGCAATTGAACATCCAGAAGGAGCCCCGACCCGGCCGACTCAAGTCCCCAAGTCCGAGGCGAGTCCATTCGTCCCTCTTCAGACTCATGTAGCCACATGGTGGTGACGCGGGATGGAGGACCCGGAGGCAGGAGGATCCCAGGCCGGTGGGTGCAGAGTTCGGCGGGTCCAAAGTCAGTGGAAACGTAGCAGGGGCACCAACAACTCTCAGTGTCGGTGGCAGCAGGTGACGTCGCAGAGAGAGGTCCTCTCTGTTCATCTTGCTCTTATACAAAAGGCTTCTGGCTTCGAGGAGGTACCATCACAGCAACAGGCTTTGACTTGACTTGATTGACAGGTTACACACACACACACACACACACACACACACACACACACACCAGCTAAAGCCTAGTTTGAGACAGTGGTGGGTCAGAGGTAGAATTCTCCCCTTCCCTGTGAGAGACCCAGATTTGATTCCCAGCCAATGCAACTCATGTCTCGTGGCCAGCCATCTGTCAGGAGAGGCTTGTGTTCTGCTATGATGAGAAACAGGCTTCAGAAGAACTTGTAGGCTAAGGCAGACTAGGAAGAAGGATCTGGCAAACTACCTCCAGAAACCCACCCACCCGTGAAAACCCCTGGGTCACAACGGTCCATGACTGCCCACAGGGATGGCCCGGGCTGGGTAGGGTTCCACTCCATTGTGCCTGTCCCTACAAGTTGGGGTGGACTGGAGAGCGATGAACAGAAATGAACTTGATTCCTGGGACAAAACTGGACCCCGTAAGTGTCTGCATATTCGCTCACTTATTCATGCAACTATTGGGATGAACAACTCTTGCAGGCAGGAAGGAAGGAAGGAAGGAGTGACGTTGGGGCAGAAAGATGATCTTCTACTAAGAACAGCCCCTCCCCCAACTTCAAGTTGTGTCCAGTCATCTGAAAACTGCTTTGTGTTAAAGCTGGAAACCATGCAGCCAGCAAGCAGGACAAGCAGCCTCCCCACCCGCGTGGCTAGTTTGCCGAGTGTCCCTTTCTCAGTGGCCCCATCCCTGTGAGGTAGTGGCACTTGCAGGAGAGCTGTCTGCTCAGGTTCCCTGGGGTGGTAGTAATTTCATCTTTCTTGGCCCAGACACAGCCGGTGCAGGGGCAGAGCCAGGGGGCAGAGCCAGGGGCTGGGAGGCCCATGTCCGGGGGCAAGAGGCTTCGTGGCCACAGCAGCCCATCTCTAACTCCACTAATGAAACTCATTCCACCACAAGAACAGCTGTCTCAGACGGAACCAGAAGGCAGCTCACCAGGGCAGGTTCCCGGGCCACTGCCTGGAGTCACTGGGACTTTTCACATTGCAACTGGGCTCTTGGCAACTTGTCTTCAGCCCTTCAAGAGGCTGTGGCCCTGGTCACCCATGCCTGCAACAGAATGCCCCTGAATTCCTGAGCTGGAGCAAGGTTAGTGGACACTTCAGGCATGTTAGTGCCTGACTTTAGGGTGTGCATGCACACTTGACTTTCAAATACATATATAAGCAAGCTCACTGCCACGTACATCTATTCCAACTCTGTGCAACCCTCCAGGACAGAGCAGAACTGCGCCTGTGGGTTTCTGAGCTGGTCAGCAGCCGGATGTGCTTCAGTCAACAAAATGCCAGGCATATTGAGCAATCTCAGTGCGGCAGAGCCTGTGCTACGTGGTATTATGCGCACTGCTTATTGTGCATAACCCCCCTCTCACAGGGTGGGGGCGTGATATTGCCATTCCCATTTTACAGATTAAGAAACTAAAGAGCCAAAGGAGTAAGAATTTGTCCGAGCCCTCCTGCTCAGAGCAGCCAAGGCACAGAGAGGACCGTAGGGCCAGCCCCACCACGAGACACCACGTCCCCTCACTGACCCACAGTGCTGCAGTGGACAGCGCTGGAGACACAGTGCAGGAATTGTGCCTGGTCTGACCGCCTCCCCCACCACACACACACACACACACACACACACACTAGTGCGAAACAAGAAGGGAGTGCAACAGAACAGCAAGGGGAGCAAAGCAACAAAGTCCCTGAGGAATCCCCAAAAGAGATTTCTGACTTGTGGGGCAGGGCTTGGCACTGGATCATGCCTGATCAGAAAATTTTCATGAGGGTCAGCAGACATACCTGGAACTATTTATCGCCACCCATCCTTTTCTCTTTCTTCTACTTCCTTTTTTTCATGTCTATCTATATAAGATAGGAAAGATAAACAATCCCGAGGCAAAAACAACAGGACTAACAGTTCTAGGGGGACAGAGTAGAGGGGGAGGTGGGGAAAAGGGAGTGGGAGGCCAACAAACCCAGGGACAAAGGAACAACAAGTGATCTAAAATCGATGGGAAGGAGGGTGTAGAATGCCTGGTGGGGTTTGATCAAGTGCAATGTAGCCAAGAGGAATTACTGAGAGCCGAATGAAGGTCGAACATGATAGTGGAACAGGAAGAAAGTAAAAGGAAAGAGGAAAGACCTAGGAGGCAAAAGACATTTATAGAGATCTAAATATAGGCATGTATATATGTAAGTATATTTATATATGACAATAGGAACATAGGTCTATGTACATGTATTTATATGGTTAGTATCAAGGTAACAGATGGACATTGGGCCTCTACTCAAGTACTCTCTCAAGGCAAGAACACTCTGTTCTAATAACCTGGCATTCCGTGATGCTCACCTTCCCAACACAATCATTGAAGACAAAATGGGTGCATAAGCAAATGTGGGGAAGAAAGCTGATGGTGCCCAGCTATTACAAGATATAGCATCTTGGGTCTTAAAGGCTTGAAGTTGAACAAGAGGCCATCTAGCAGAAAAGCAACAAATCCTACATGGAGGAAGCACACCAGCCTGTGTGATCATGAGGTGTGGATGGGATCAGGTATCAGGCATCAGAAGACCCAAAACAATCATATCAATGTGAATGAGGGGAGTTGGAGTGGGGACCAAAAGCCCATCTGTAGACAACTGGATATCCTCTCACAGAAGACTCACAAGGAAGGGACAGACAAGCCAGCCAGGGTGTAGTATAGCACCAACGAAACACACATTCCTCTAGTTCTTTAAGGTTTCCTCCCCCGCACTCCACTATCATGGCCCTAGTTCTACCTTACAAATCCAGCTGGACCGGAGCATGTACACTGGTACAGATAAGAGCTCTCGACACATGGAATCCAGGACAGATGAACCCCTCAGGAACAGTAATGGGAGTAGCAGATACCATGAGGGTTCGGGGAAGGTGGGGAAGAAGGGGGAACCAGTCACAATGATCGACATATAACCCTCCCTTCCCCTGAGGGGGAATGAATAATAGAAAAGTGGGTGCAAGGAGACAGTGGATGATGTAAGATATGAAAATATTATACTTTATAATTTATCAAGGTTTCATGAGTTTTGGAAGGCAAGGGAGGGAGGGGGGAAAAAAGAGGAGCCGATACCAAGGGCTCAGGTAGAAAGAAAATGTTTTGAAAAGGATGATGGCAACATATGTACAAATGTGCTTGATGCAATTGATGTATGGATCATTATAAGAACTGTAAGAGGTCCTAATAAAAATGATTTATAAAAAAAGAGAGAATTTGTCTGAGATCACACAGAGCTGTGAATTCAATGTGAGACGTCTGTCTACAAAGCCCCTGAACCATTCCACCCACTCGCTCTTCCCTGCCTCGTGGAAATTGGCATTGTTCTCCCCCATTGCTGCTGTTCAGGCCGACCTTGCTGAGACCCCAAAGCACCCGGCTCCCGTGTCTACACGGATCCAGGCAGGTAGTCTGTTGTGTCAACAGGAGACTTACACTGAGGGGTCTACGTCTGATTGTGTCTTCTGGATCAAAGGCCTCCACCTGGCATATGAATCCCGGCTTTTCACCTTCTGCTATGTAGAGCTCTAGACCTAGAGCAGAGGGAAACAGGAAACATCTTGTTAGATAAAGCAGGTGGGAAACCCAGCACAGAGGCCTCCCACACCCAGTGGGGGCCAAGGATGCTGGCTTTGTGGGAAGGAGGAAGCCAGCTATGAAGGCCATGAGTAAGACCACTCGCCAACCAGCTTGAGCGCATCTATCCACTGACTCTGTCCGTTTGTCAGCCTGTGGCGGCGTGTATGTGGCTGTGGTGCTGGAAGCCGTGTCACTGGTATATCAAATGCCAACAGGGTCACCCAAGGCCAGCAGGTTTCGGCCGAGCGTCCAGACTCAGAACAGACTATGAAGAAGGCATCGGCTAGCCACGGCAGAGGAATTGGCTGCTGAAAGCCCTAGGCAAAGCCCCCATCTGTCCTGGCAGAAGCGCAGCCGGAGTGCTCCTCAGAAGCAGGAGGTCGAGCACTCACCCCCGTCCTGGGACATGTTATTGGGGGAGACCAGCCCCTTGGAACGGACACCGTGCTTGGTGGGGGAGAAACGCGCTGAAAAGGGGGAAGCCCTGGGCAGGGCAGGCTGACCCAGGAGCTGAAACAATGGGCTCGCACATCAGAGCAGTTGTAAGCACGGCGCAGGCCTGGAGCGCGTTTCGTTCTGGTGCACGCGGATTGGGGCACTGGGTGTTGGAAACGACTCGATGGCATCTAACAACAACAACAAGTGTGGCTCAAACAGCATCGAGTGGAAAGGTTGAGGGAGGCAGATGGACATTTGAATCAGAAGTCTGGGAAAGAGGCTGCAGGAGAAAGCTGGTTCTCGTGGTGGCTAGCATACAGATTGTGTTCAAGGTCATGAGCATGGGTAGGAAGTTACACAACAGTCCAGTGCCTTATCTTGTGCTTGCCCCCTGGGAGAGTGAACAAGCACCGCGGTCACTGACTGCAGTCCACAGGGATGGGATGAGCCCACAATGGGTCCCACACAGGTCCCTCCAGAATGATGCACCTATAGTCCCCAAGTCTCCCTTCCTTCACAAGCTGCGCACGCACGGAGAGACCCCGGCCATGGTAGAAGCTAATAGTTAACCAAAAATCAACAGGAGGAAGTGCTTCTGTTTTCCATTTTAAACATTCTTAGTCACAGTTTTATTTATTTTGTAAGAAGACAGGGAAAAAGTCCTTTATTATCTATCCATGTCCCAAGAAGTGTTCTTCTTCATGACCTCAAAATATGGGTCGCAAATACATCACAGCCAAGGGAGTTGGTGGACTCGTATTTTGGGGAGTGCTGGACTGGATGCATTTCATTGGTTCCCTGCTCTCTAAGCAGCTGCCTCTTCCAGGGAAAACATCTGCTTGTTTGTTTACATTCTGGTTTTCCCTTGTCCCCCAGGGCCTTCCCCAAAGCCACCATCTGGGCTGCACTGCTCCGCACATCCCGGCATAGCTTACCTTTCCCCAAGGCGCCTTGAAACTGAGGCGGCTCATTCACGTCCGTTACCTGGACAGTGAGGATCTGCAGGTCTGTGGTGCCAACCTCATCCTTTACATAAATCTGCAAGTCAAATATGTTTGGTCCTGTTTCAAAATCGAGTTGTTCCTTCCCGGTGGTGACCACCTAAAACCAAAGGCAAAATCATTAGTAAGCGCAGCAAAGATTTGTTTTGCGCACCTGGGCTCTGCAGAGGGCTGTTCGTGGGAAGGAGCAGCGTGGCTCTCGAAGGCCACCTTTCACTCCCTGCTGGAAGACCAGGGTGTTCCTAACACACGCCTGATGCCACGGCCCAACAGAGATGCCTGTGGGTGGCACCGCTTTTCAAAGGCAAGAGAAATAGTCCAAGGCACCTGGCCATGGAAAGCCCGAGAATTTGAAAGCCCACCAGGGCTCAAGGTTCCTGGGGTTGCTGTTCAATTTTACCTGAACTCATCATTTCATGCTAGTGTTCCCAAGACTAAATAAGGGGAGGGGTGTGAGACACACCTGCATAATGAAGAATGATGTTTACTTCTATTGACAGCCTACTCGCTCTTCTGATGCCCCTCCACACGATCTCCTATTGTGGGAGACTTCTGTCCTCTGTGGGGCAGGGGTTGGAGGGGGAACACCAAGAACCGAGGCCAGAAGAGAGGTCCCAGAATCTAGAGTTGTTGCTGCTAGGAACCGTCACAGGCAATGGTGGGAGAGCCCGCTGAGGTTCACTGGCGGCCACCCTGAACCTGAGAAAGGTCTCTCGCTTCTATCTCAGCCTAGCCCCCAGAGCTCCCAGAAGACCCAGCCCTTTGGGACATCAAGGAGAGAGTACCTAGTTCTCATCCCCTTTCCTCCACTGCACTGCTGTGTGCCTTTGGGAAAGTCACTTGTGTGGGCTGTGATTTTGTGTCCCTGTGACTACATGCAGGGTCACACTTCTTGTCCTAGCTGACCTGCTGTGATCACACAAGGCACCCTAAGGAGGAGCTAGACCGGGGGTCCTATGGAAAAGAGGGTGGAGAGACCACGGTGAGCAGCTTCCTGGAGGAGGGAGGGGGGAGCTGTGTTTGACGTTGAAAGATCTAGAATGGCGAAGAGAAGAGAAGCATGCTGTGGAATGGGGGTGTGCACCAGAGGGAGAAGGGATAACCAGGAGGAGGACTGGGTGGTGAAAGGGGACCATCCCACCAGTGAGGGGATCGGCCCAGCACCCACGTGAACACAGGCCTCTGGCCCGGCGAGTGGCCGATGAGAGGCAGCAGCACACAGGAGTCCAGGCACCGACGCCGCCGTCAGGCCACCTGCCTTCAGTACCTTGCCCTATCGCCATTTTCCTGCCTGGGGTGGGGGGAGCCGCGCGCCTACGGGACAGGGTTGCTGTGAGGATTAAACGAGCTGGTCAGTGCTGTCTGACCCTGAGCCGGCCCTCGGCCGGCCAGCGCTGTCCTCGGACATCGTCAGGGGGGCAAAAGGCAGGTAAGGAAAGCATGTCCACCAGAGACCTTCCTACTGCCACGATGGTTTCTGCGTCCCGGTTTGTAGTTTCCTGCCAAGGCTGAAGTCCTCTCTGGAGCCCCAGCCTGACTAGGTCCTTGAATACCCTCACCCATGCCAGCCCCTTCTCCTGGTCACCGGCTATAAGACCCTCACTCACTGCCATGAGCCATTCTGACTCACAGTGAGCCCAAGGGACGGTGTAACACATTCGAGGGAGCACAGTGTGCTGTTGAGTGTTTGTTGACTCCTAACGACCCTCAGAGACTGTGACCGAGTTCAAGTGCCCCGGGGGCTTCCTGGGCTTGGTCTTTACAGAAGCAGGTCACCTGGCCGTCTTCGGAGGGGCTTCTGGTGGGTCTGAAGGGCCAACCCTTTGGTCAGCAGTTGAGTGGTTGGTTGGCTGTTGCCCCACCAGGGTTTCTCTGAAAACCTAACTCACTGCCATTGAGTTGATTCGGAGTCGTCGTCGTGACCCTGTAAGACCAGGTAGAACTGGCCCTGTGACTATAACTCTTCTCAGGAGTAGAAGAAACCAGTCACAGAAGAACACGTATGGCATGGCTCATTTACATGAAATGTCCAGAACAGGCAAATCCATAGAGAGAGCAAGCCGGTTAGTGGTTGCCAGGAGCTGGCAGGGATGCCTCATTTTCCCCACCTGTGAAAAGTGGATCACAGGACAACACAATCACTGGGGCATTCTGGAGATCAAAAGAGTAAATGCCTATAAAGCATTTTCCCATCGGGCATAGACTAAGTGCTACACACAGTGGGCAATTGGTCCAGCTAAGGGGCCCCGGGCCGTGTGGAGGGTTAAGCTAAATCAAGGTCAGACCCACCAACGGCTCCTGGGGAGAAAGACAAGCCTGGCTGCTTCAAGCAAACCATTCAGAGTGGACCCCCTACACAGGGCCAGGGTCTCTGTGAGTTGGTGGTGGGGTGGGTTGGGTTGGGGTCTGTAAGGATACACAGCAACCACTGAAGGCAAACCAGATGTCCAGAGATCAGGTAGGCAGGGCTTCTAAGTCACAGATCCAGCACAGGGGGCGCGAAAATATAAGCCAGGTACTGGCTGACCCTCTTCACACACCAGAGGGTCCAGCTCCAGGTGGGAGCCGAGGCGGCATGAAGTTAGGGAACAGGAAGTGCGAAGGCCCAGTCTCTGGTCATCGAGTGATTGTTTCTGCAGATCTGTGATGAGGTCCAGACACTTGCACTTAGTGAAAGATTCTCCAGAGACTGTGATGATCAGTTCAGTTGGAGAGCTGCAGGGGAGCAGCAGAGCCCGAGCCACGCAGGCCTGGGCCAACTAAGCCCCACAAGGCCCCCAGGGAATGGTGGGCAGGACCAGCGGCAGGGCTGATGATGGCCACTGGAGAATCTCTTGTCAAAGGAGTGATGGTGGGGGGTGGGGGCGCTAGTGTCCAGGTTGTTTCTGACACCTGACTCCATCCTTACAAAAATGTCAGCTAGCCACCATGCCAGGAGCAGGTTGTCCTGCCTAAGGGCACCAACTTCCAAGAAGACTCAACTGACACAACTAGAAGACAGAGCCGCTGTGGTGTGGTGCTTGACTGTGGGTGATCAGGTCTAACCTGCCTAGTAGGAACCGTTCACACAGTAAGTCCGGTCATTTAGCGTCGTTTTTTAAATCAAGGGTGTGTGTCCTCCATATTACACACCTTTTCCCTGATTTCCTGGGAGGGAAAAGAAAAACACAGCATCATGGAAAGGCGGAATCATCGGACACCAGGTTGTCAGGCCTGGCTTCCAAAGATGTCCGTACTCAAACCATCCCACCAAAGTCTGTCGCTCCCGGCTGTACACCTAACACTGCAGGCTTATGTCTTCCATCTGTAAGATAAGTGAGCGTCGTGTTCAATTGGACTGGCGTATGGGGGAAAGAAGGGTCCAGAGATCCAGGGGCACCTGGCAGAGAGGGTTCTGGGACGTCCCAAACAGGACTGCTGGGGCTTAAAACAGGAGAGCTCAAGCCGAGACCGAAGAAGGAAAGGCTCCTGCCGGAAGCCCATCCATCTGCCGGAGGAGCAGTGTGCTGCCAGCTCTTACCTCAAAGCTGGTGCCTGACAGCCCGTTCACCTTGAAGGCTTCAGTGAGGGGACTCGAGTTGATTATCACGGGGAATCCCGGGCTCACAGGTGACAGCGATACTGATAAATTCACAGCAAACGTGTACACCGCTGTCTCCGGAGGAGAATTCTCTGCCACGTTGCTGGTAGCTGGCAAGTGGATTAAGTGCAGTGCCTCTCTCTCTGTGGATTTCAAAAGGATGCAAGATGACATGAGCACAAAGCCTTTCTCCTGGGGACAGGGACTACACCGCCCGGCCTGTGCTTTCCATTGGTGGCTTGGAGCAATGATGCCACCGGGTCACTTCCCGGGAACAAACGCCCTTGCCAAGCTCTGGAAATGAGAGGGCGAAGTCTTCTTGGATCCAGAATAACTACAACCATGAAATCGGCATCTGCCATTCAGCAAAGCGAGCCGCCGCTTCTCCCTGCCTCCCTCTTCCCTCCTCCTTTCTCCCAGCCCTAGGAGACAGACAGCCCCTAGAAGGCCCCAGTCTGGTCGTGCCATCGTCTAAGAGCCTGGCAGCTTATGTCCTGCCCTGCACTCGGGAGGTCATCTGAGAATCGAGGGTGCGGGACTGGAAAGCCCCCCAGTCATGGCAGAGCTCCTTCTTCCATTAAATAATCTCAAGGTCAATGGTTTGCTCTTGGTGGATGTGATGGGCAGCACGAGGAGCCCTAGTGGTGCAGTGACTCAGCACTGAAACCCACCAGCCCCTCCATGGGGAGAAAATGCGGGAGTCTGCTTTGGTAAAGGTGACAGTCTAGGGAGCCCTGGGAGGCGGTTCTACACTGTTCTGCCGGGTTCCCACGAGGTCGGATAGCCTCTATGGTGTATGGGCTTGGGGTTTGGGTTGCATGGGTGTCATGTAGATGGCACTCTACATGCAGCGTCTATAGGATACCCATACAACAATGCAACCAAAGGCCCAAACCCACTGCTGTAGAGTCCGTGGGAGAGAGTCAACCAGCACCTCTTGGCAGACAGGAGCAGACCCATTTCACAGGAAGGAAATGAGAGGCTCCAGGAGGTCATGTCTGCCGTACTTGGCTACATGAGAGTGAATTTTGAAATTTCAGAGGAAAGTGTTTTTCCTCGAGGAAAGCCTTGGGACCATCCTCAGGTCTCCATGGCCCTTGGGTGACTTTGGCAGTGCAGCAGAGGACACGGCCCATGACCTGTCCTCCCTCCATCATCATGGTTCCCGTGAACACGTCCAACATCCAAGTCGGGTCAGTGTAAAATCCCTGGATCTCGTGTGCTCCTCAAGTCAGTCTCTGCACGATGGGTATGCCGTCACGTGACAGACGCCAAGACTGAATCGACAGACAGGCAGTCAGCGAATCACAAAGACAGTCCAAACCATGTCCCAGGTAAAGGCTGCATCATCTCCATGTCTCCACACAGGCTGTTCCTTCTCCTTAAAATACTCTTCCTCAGGTAAACAAGCGGCCATCTAGCTCAGAAGCAACAAAGCCCACGTGGAAGAAGTACACCAGCC